TGTGTTGAGTAGTTTTGAAGTGCAAAAGTCTGGCTCCACGTTGGTTGCTTCTTTTTGTAGGGAATTTTTTGTTGTTTAAATTAATGCTACTTGATTCAAAGGGAAGAGTTAATATATTTATAATTTTCAAAATATTTAGAAGTCTTCATCACTCTAACAATAACTTCCACTGCGTTAAATTCATATACACATTGTAATTCAGAGTCCATGTTCTGTTACTTCTTACATTTCTAAAGACCGAAGTACTAAAATCTACCTTTGAAAAGTACTTGTGCTCAGTTATTGGCAATAGTTACATTTGAAGGGCTGGGAAAAGTGGCTTTTTCAATAAAAGCATGTTAAACTATTCATTTGCACGGTGTAACAACACTTACTTTGTTTATTTTGCTGAGAGACTGCAGTGTCTGGGCAGTGGCTCAGAGTGGGGTACCCCAGGACAGCAGCTGTGCTGGAAGGAGCAGAGAAGCAAACACTGGAGGATTAGACCTTTTCTCAGCTTCTCCTCAGCCCCTAGGCCAGATTTCAGACGGGGTGGTTGTTTACACTGACCTCCCCTCCTACCTGTTGTGCAACCACAGAGCAGATTTTGCTAAGCAGGGGCAGATTGCTGCCGGGGGGGCTCCCTGGGGTTGGCATTTCCTCTCATATCCTGCTTGTCTGAACCCTGCACAGACCCTTCAGAGCCCCCAGACACCCTGTGACTGTGCACAGAAACACGTGCAGGGAGGCCCTTTCCTGATAAATGTGCACTATTGAACGATGCTGCCTGTCCTCAGAGGATGCTGAAGCACCTGCAGCTGCTGCAGGTACACAGAGACCCCCCCTGCCAGGTCAGCCCTGGAGAGAGCCCCCAGGGGACACTCCAGCTCCTGATTTGCCTTTTGAAGTTTGTTGTTTGGTTTTTGTTTTGTTATTTTTTTCCTTTGGCAGATCACAACTGCTAAAGAGGTACTTGTGTTTTATTTTGTACATTCCAAAGAATGTATAAAATATTTTCTGCCTCTCGCAGCTAAAGCAACTGGTTTGAAGTGTTCTCGTGTTTTTCTCCCCACCCAGGAACACAAACAGCTCCCACCCAAAACTCTTCAAGGAAGTCACAGTGCAAAGTTAAGACCTTCTGAAAGCTCCAGGTGGAATAAAGTGCTCTGATACTCTCAGCTGCAAATATTGCCTGGGATTAGTTTATAAATAGTATTACTTACGGCATTTATTTTGTTCCTAACAGCTATCATTACTTGGGAGAGCTCTGCTGCCACTTGTGATGACAGAAATCCTCACCCCTCGTGGATGGGCTCAGATGCAGTTTTGGCTTTGTGCAGGGCAGTCAGCTTGCTGAGCTATTCTGCACATTGACACCGAGCAGCAAATGGGATAAACACGCTAAACACTCACTGAAGAGCAGGGAAATCATTTCAGTCACAAATGCACGGGGACAAAATGCCACAAAAATGCTATGGAGCTAACAAAAGAAGTATTCTTTTCAGTAAAACTCTGCTTGCACAGTGTTCACCTTTTGTTTGTTTTAATTAATTGTTTTGGAATATGCTAGGCAATCGCTCCAGGGATTTAGCAAAATATGAACTGAGGTTTCCTTTCAGAAAATTAACTTTTCTTTAAGAGCAGTTGCTTACAAAGCTTCCTACTCAAAACTCCTTTGGTTTTTTTTCTCATGAGGGCAGCACATGGGCACTAACAAAACACATTTGGCTCAAATAGCCCAGTCAGTAGATTTTATTCTAAACAATTAAAGATTAATTTGGATTGCAAGGGGAAAAAAAAAAAAAGGTAATTCTTAAGCCAACACTTACCTAACGAAAGCAAGTGAAACTCAGCAGCACTGAAAAGAATACCCAACAGAGACCAAATATAGCTTCAACATATATTCATGGTCTGTCTCGAAATGTCTTTGATGTTAAACCTCATATGGCACACTTAGCATTTTTTATAATTCATTTCCTATGGAAACTAATGAGCTTAAGGGTGAAATTACCTCATTGAAAGTCAAAATGGAAGTGTGAAGAAAAGAGGGATGACCTGGAAAGCAGATTTAGAAGCAATCTTTGCATATTAAGCATTGCTGTGGGAAATAGTATAATTAGTTTTCTTCAGAAGTTATTCCTTGGAATTGTGCAAGTGGTATTTCAGCTCCCAAACACCATGCAGAAGGAATGTTATATAAAATAGGTGGAAAAAATGCAAAATCCCCACACATTCAAGAGATCCTTTTCCTAACTTCCAGTGACTGATGATTTACTTTTAAGAAGGCAGACTGCACAAAATAAGGCCCCTTTCCAGCAGAAAGCTCTAAGGGGCCACAAGAAACCTGATTTTCAGAGCATAATTTGGAATTAAGCATTCTCTTCCCAAATGCCTAACTCCTCCTGCTTGAATCAACTGATGGCCCCAAGCTCTTGCTGCAGGCTAAGCCACCTGCCCTACACAGCTCTGCTGCAGCCCAGGCACCGAGACAGAATGGATGTGTTCTGTCTGCTGAAAGAAGAGCTAACGATTAACCTTGGAGTGCCAAATATTCTCCTGTTAAAATCAATGCAAACAGTACCAGAGTTGAAGCAGAAATTATCCTGGACAATTGCTGCTTCGAGTACCTGAGCCACAGCGAGGGCTCTGGCACTGACACGGACTGTTGGATCAGTTCTCACCTGCCAAGGGCCATGCCTGGAACTCCCTCTCCCCATCACCCCACCTTCCCTCTCCCCATCACCCCACCTTCCCTCTCCCCATCACCCCACCTTCCCTCTCCCCATCACCCCACCTTCCCTCTCCCCATCACCCCACCTTCCTTCTCCCCATCACACCTTCCCTCTCCCCATCACCCCACCTTCCCTCTCCCCATCACACCACCTTCCTTCTCCCCATCACACCTTCCCTCTCCATTCCTCACAGAGCAAGTGCTGGGAAGGGCTCGTGCTGTGCCAGGACAGATCACTCCAGAGTGCATAACCCCAAACCCAGCAGCATCCTCAAACTAAATTACCATTTAAAACATTTAAACCCACCAATGGAAGTGCAGGACAAGCCAAAACTACTGGTTTTAAGGTCTATCAGCTTAACTTTACGGTGCACAGAACAACACAGTGTCTTCACTTTCACATTACTTGAGTTTCATTTAAATTTAGTCTGAAGAACAAACGACTGCTGGTTTAAGAGCAGATTAGCCACAAACATTAAATGGTATCCAGCTTCGAGTAGGGGAATGGCAGCAGCACAAAATCCTGGGATGCTAAACTGCAGTTTGAAGTTTAACAACCCTGGTAGCTTAACAACCCCACCTCAGATACAACAGGGTGCAGACAAGTCCTCCCATTTACTCAGCAGGGGAAAAGTTCTACTCAGAAAGAGTTCTATTAACAGTAGCCATTTGAAACCTTATAATTTACACAAATTAGATCACTGCAAAGATGAACACAATATGACAATCATTTCCTCTAGCCTGCTGTGAAGTCAACAGTGGTACAATGCTTGTCACTTCAGAGTTCATGGTGTTGCAAGAAATTAAAATAGCATCTACTTTTTAAGAAGTAGCAAACCTTTTCATTTGTTAGCATCTTGAAGCCATCCTAATTTTGCTTATTCATGATAAATCCTGTTGAGAGAACTGACGACCCTCTGCAACATCACGTGACACAAACTCACCTCATTTTCAGTTACTGCAGGTTCAGGGCTGATATTCACTGCAAAACCTCAGCATTCAAATAACTAATTTGAATGATTGCTGATGACCAGGCTTTAGCAGGGGCTGCACACATCCATTTCTGGGGGGAGGGACACGACACAGGAGAAACAGAAACAGACAGCTGCTTTTTTTTTTTTTTCTTTTTTTAATTAATAAGTTTTTTAGTTCAGGAAAAAAATAAATCACAAAAGGGAACTGGAAGAACTACTCTCCACCTTCTTTATAAAAGAACTTCCTCAAAGAGAGAGACTACACACCTGGTTCACCACTATGTCAAATCCTATCATAATCACCTCGGTTTCCACATCTATTCTACCACATTTCATGCTCAGCTTCCAAACATCTCTTATAAAGGAGGTGGGGGTGTGCTTTAGACAGGTTAAAAATATGCTGCACCTTTACAGTATTTAAACAATTACACCAAGCATAGTTCATACATTTATCACATCAACTATCACCTGGTAAACATACATTTGAAAAGGTCTAATGTAGAGTATGTAATACCCATGACAGATACTCTTACTTACTTAAGAGCATATAAAAGATCAGGATTTATTCACCCTCCCTATCTGCAAGTTAATTTCTGATCTCTTCCTGGTACAATATAAATGGAAAAAAAAAAAAAGAGAGAAGAATCCCTTCATTCCATTGCACTACCACAACCCTCTATGCATAGAAAGGCAGATTATTGACCTGTGACAGGGAAAAGGAAGAGGGGTTTATAAAAGGAATCTGAAGAGCATCTACTGCACAGGTAGTTTAGATGTTAAGCACGAGCCCTGTTGATTGGTTTTTCCCCCCCAGGTTTTTTTTTTCTCACAGTCACACAGAACACCCCTGAACAAACATAACTGGAGTAAGTGCGAGCCAGGTGTACATTGCACTGGAGACACACTACTCTTGACCAACAAGGAAACTTCAGCACCAGAGGCCTGAACACAAGAACAGGGACAAGCCTGTGCTGAGAGCCCCTCTGGGCTGTGGGAGTGGTGAATGAGAATGCAAAGCACATTTCTGCATATAATGTGCAAAGGCTTGACCTCCACAACTGCACTCCATTTGCTACATGCACAGCCAGAGATGAAAATGAGATCAAAACCAGCTGGGAATGGTTGTCCTGAGAAGATACAATAACCATTAAAAAAAAATCTAAACATAAAATACAAATACAGAAGCAACAGAACATTGTTAATAATACTAAGAGACAGAAACACACCGTTGTTGTTAAAAGAAGTTTCAAGTAATATTCCAGATCCAACTTCAATCCTACTCACAGGAGAAAATGCCCAGAGATTAGGAAAAGAAGTCCACACCAAAGTGTATTTTAATAGCATACAGGCATGGTCAACAGACCCATCCTTGCAACAGCTATTTTTAAAAAATAAAAATCTAAACAGAAAGACATAATTCTAATTAGCATTCATATTAACATGTGCATTGCTGGAAATAGTTGTTTAATTCACTGCAACCAGTAGACACGATGTGCTGCATCATTTGTGCTCCATTATATCACAAGATATTGTGTGTGCACTCTTTTAACATCCAAGTATAAATCCTGCTCCTAAAATAAGGCATACTCAAAAACAACATGATATCTACAGAGGTAACTTTGTATGCTTTCTTCTCATTCTGCTTCACTCTTCTAGGTGTGATGGAAAAGGAAAACAATTGGTCCCAGTTGAGGTTTGTCAACACTGGCAATCAGACTGTGATGAAACAGATTAGATCACAGCAATTCAGGGGGAGGGGAGGGTGGGGATTTTTCTTATTTTTAATGACACTTGGGACATCTCCTGAATGAGCTCTGCAGAAGGCATGAAAAAAGAAATCTACATTTATTATGTCAGAGACACCAGTGTTCCCCTTCATCATCCCTATCTCCATCCCTATCCAGAAATGCCTCCATATTGCTACAATTTCTCCAAACTGACTTTTTTTTTGTGTGTAAGATGGTTCCTTCCAGTAAAGCTGCTATATTCTGTTTTAAATGATAGCTTTTTCTACATTTTCACCAGTGTATGCATGCTAGAGAACAGCTGCATTGCAGAGGTACATATTCAGCACACGGTATCAAACAAAAAAAGAAATACAAAAAAAAAAAAGGAACCAGTGTGTCCTACTGGCTGCTCCATGTCAAAAGCACTGTTTGGTCTTCTGATATAAAACAATACAGAAGTAATATTAGCAGAAGTCTGTTCTGCTTCAAGTAATACCCCAACTTTAAATGTGATTTTCAAACTTTTGTGCAATTCTTTTTGTAATCTCACGCGAATAAAAACATCAACATGTCTAAACTAAGAAAAGAGACTGCCCTACCTCCACTGTAACACTGCACAGATGGCAGAGGGTTTAAGCTGGAGGAGCTGTTCAATGGGTGGATGTTTCTGAATGAGTGTTCATGTGGTTTCCAGCCCAAATGCAATGGGTGGCAACAAAAGATCAGACTAATGCAAAATGCAGTTACAAATACACACTGACAACTTCCTTCTTAAATATTAATGGCTCTTGAAATACCCATCAGATACTTTTACAAAACTTCTCTATTTTAAGTCTAAGGATTTTTCTTAGTTTCTCCACAAGTAGTGCAAATACACTCCTTATTCTTAGGTCATCCCAAGATATGGCTGGTTTTTGTGTGGGTGATTTCTGTTTGTGTTCTTCACTGAAGTGACACAGGGACACTGTAGTCATGAGGATGGAATGTAATGCCTGCTGGACTACCTTGGGAAAAAGAAAAAAAATCTACCTTATTCATGTACAGCTGTAAAATTCTACAAATTAAAAATTTCACATCAGACTACCTGATGCAAAAATCATTGATTCCCTGCTATGGGGGAACTGAGAAGATCCCCTGAAACCTTAAACTGTACAAGCAGTGTAACAGGTTTTTGTCCCCCCTCCACAGACTACAGGTATTCAGTTCTTGAATCGGGTCTGCTCACAAATGTGATTGAATTTCCTGAAACAAAATAAAAACAACAAGCATTAAAATGTAACCAAGCTCTCAGAAGTCGGGCAGCAAAAGCGAGGATCTTTCACAGGATATTTTAAATGCTAAACAGTTTAAAGCAGAACATTCACACACTGAAATATCTGGTTTTCAGAACCTGTTTCTGTTGCACTCCACTACCACGTTACGTGGAACAGGATTTTCAACATCTCTCGTGCCCAACCCTTGTTAGTTTTATTGTGCACACAAAACCCCTGCTATTAAACACTCCCTTCTACTTCTGCAGACTTTAACCCAGAAGGCAACTAAAGCAGGGCTTGGTGAATTCATCTTCCCCTGCAAGATACTAGTAATTCTTAGCAGACAGCATTACCCCAGTCACTGAGAACCAGAATTAACCAGGCTAATGACACATTTCAACACAAAGGTGTTCTCTCCATGGCTCAGAATCTTCTGGAAGGAAAAAGTTTTTCTCAGCCTGTATTATGCCAGTTTTATGGCAATGGCAAGCCTGGCTTCAGGGATTAAACAGATAACACAGCTTTGCACAGGGCACTTCTCCCCAGTTCCCAAAAACCTCTCCCTGTTCATTCTTTGTTTTCCTCTGACCTGGGTTCTGTGTCCCTGACACACAACTGAAACACAGGTGGGGTGCTGAGTGTGGGGATACCTGGGCAGGAGATGATGAAAGGAGACCACCAATTCTCCTCCTCTTGCAGAATTAGATCAAGGATTACAGAAACCTTGCTTACATAACCAAACTGCTTAGCAAAACAGTTTAGCTCAATTAAAAAAAAAACTTAACTGGGCATTTAGGAGTAGTATGACAAAACTGTTTGCTTTTGTGGATTTTAGGAACTAAGAGCAGCAGCCAGTAAAGTTCTAGGAACAGCTGATGCATGAAAGAAAAGATAAATTAAAAAAAAAAAAAAAGAGAAGAATAAAAGGAAAGAAATACCCTGAGTCATTTCTATTCTAGATGAAGTTATCCCCCACAATATGAACAAAGAAGAATGGTAAATACTTTGATATTGAATTAACTCTAACATTTCAAAACAAAATCTCCTCTGGGAACACAGACAGTCCTGTAATGTGAAGTTACAGATAGCAGTGGTACTTCGAAATTACATCTGCAACTTAAACCCAAAATTATTTTTGAAAGCTATTTGGTAAAACCCTCTGACTTTGTAAGAGACTGCAGATGAATATTTTACAAGTCTGTCTTATGATCTGCTTGCCTGAGATGTACAGACTGGTTATTTTCAACCCACAGTACCTGAAATATTAAAGGAATTATGCTAAGTGTGTATGTACACTGCAACATTAGAAAGATACTGCAGAATCTACTATTCATTAGGGTAATTTCTCAATAAGGGATAACAGCTCCTCTATCTTAAATTGCACTGAGAATTTAGAGAATTATTCATAAAGCAAGAAGGATTTTTCAACCCTCCCTGGAACCAGTTGGCTCCTAGGTAGAAAATTTTTGGTTTGTTTTAGGAGTTTTTAATATTTGTCAAACCATATGTGCATCTTTTCATAAGAATAAAACTGCATTGGTCATCAGTGGCCTTGATTTGTTTTAATCAAGAAGCTTGACTTATTTTGGAAGAACATTTCTCATAAGTGACCAGATACCAGGAGTCCAAGTGCCCTTGAGAAGCAGAGGGTTAATCTCTTTTCAGGCTCAGTATTTCACTTTCAATACCTGCCAGATTCCTTGGGTCAGGATTGTAAGACCTAGAAACTCCTCCAAACCCAGGAACTGCTTAGGAACCTGCTGTGGCTTATGTTACGTGTTCCAAGCTTCTCTTGCTTCCCTTGTTGCTAATTATTCCCACCAATTTATCCCTTCAATGTAAGCTGCACTTCACTAAAAGAGTCACTCCCTCCACTCCAGTGGGTGGAAAAACAGACTCAAGAAGTGTCAGCAATGGGTTACATCAACTTACAAGTGCTGGCAGTGCCCTTCTGACACGCACAAAGGGCTCATTTCAAAGCTGTGCTAGAAACAAAAACGACAACAAAATCCCCAAAGCTCACCCAGTTCTGCTCGATGCTGCAACAGTGCCACTCACACAACTCCTGGCGCCTCAGAGGTTGCTTTTTGGGTTGTTGTCAGTGGCTTTTTTTTAAAGAGACACAAAGCAAACTCCCTTTCTGAGGGGTGTGACTTACATGGCATGATGTGCTTTGACCTGAGTTCGACAGTTGCGCCCCCAGTAACAATCAGGACGGGACGTGACAGTCACTGCGAGAAGAGAAGTGAAATGCTGCATTAATTACAAAGGTCATTAATAAGGTGATGTAGATTATTAAGCCACTGCTAACAGAGGTTACTCATCAGAGCAGGCTTTGTAGAGAAACCAGGCATGACTGGTAAGAGACAGTTGGTTGCATGCTAATTTAAACTAAGATTGTAAATGCAAGTAGATCTAGAATTAGTTAATGAAAGCATTCTTGGTTCCTAGTTGAGAGCTGGTGAAATGTGGACTTGTTCAGAAGGTGCATCATTTTATATACTTAAATGGGAAAATAAATGAAATTACAGCCACTGTTCCTGTTGACTCTATTCTGGATTTTACTGGGTTTCTCTTTTCAATCTGACATTACCTCACTTCACATGACTTTTCCCCCCTTACAGTGCAAAACAATGCCCACCTGGCAGTTCAGCAACAGGAATATTCTGCCTGTACTGGTAGGCGAGTTCTCGGAAGCTGCGAAGGCCACAACAGTAGCAAAGCACCGTGTCCCCAGTAATTCTGTAATCTGGGGACAAAAGCAGTTGGTACAGAATGTCAGAAATCACATTTAACTCAAGAGGCTGGACAGCACTTGCTGTGTACAGAGAAGTGCAAAGCTCCTGGTAACATTCCACTGGAGTTACGTACAGACAAGGAGCCACACACAGCACATACCTGACAACATAAACACTCCTCTCTGAAGAGCTAAGAGGCTTTCATTCAACATGTTTTTCCATGTCAGACCCCTGGATGCCAGGTAATCCTGAAAAGAGCAACTTCAGTGTTTAATCTAGAAAAACCTTCAAGCTTGAAGAGCAACCAAGCCATTTATTGTCAAATATTTCCACATCTAGATCTAACCACGTTTTCAAAATGGCTTGGTGCTGATTACAAGTAAATATTAAATACATTTAACTTAATTATCAAGATATTTTCAGACCACCAATAAAACTTTCTACTTCATATCTTTTTTTTTTTCCCCACAAGATCCCCACTTCTGCCAGAAGTTTGCAAATAGATTCACATCAGTCACACTTTCCTTTACCCCAAATCAAGATTTCACACAGCTTACATAATTTAGGGAACCCTGCTATGGTATAAGCAAAATCTTTTCCGTGAAACTTAGTGTGAAATTTTGTCTGGGACAAAATGTTTAACAAGCCTTGCTTTCCTGGCATATTTTTAGTGAATTCTTTTCCTCTTAATTAATATTTTGGATGTTACACTTTAGACTTCAGAAACCGGCTTCCCCAGCAATAAAACCCAAACACATCTGGACTCCATAGTGTGTCTACCAGTCATTTAAACTCAAATTCACAATTAGGTCTAGAATTTTGGCCTTCTTGGAACCTGTCAGGCACACACATTGGAGAAATTAAACACCAGGATTCCAGCAAAGTGATTTTTGCTGTTGTTAATTGATGCCCTCTTACACAGACTGGGATGACAGAGCCACTCCAAGATACTTCCAGAGTCCACACAGTAAACTATAACTTTGCTCCAGCTGATCACCTGGGGCTCATCTAATCTGCCTTTTGGAATCAGGTTCTGCAAGTGACACAACGCTGCCACTGTAACTGTTAGGCAGCACAACACTTTCACTTCATCACTGAGTGCACCTCAAACCTTGTACCTTTGTTATTATCACACACAAAGATTTTTAAACTTACCTTTAGGATGTCTGACTCGTAGTGGTTGTTATTTAGGACTCCATCTAAACACTTATCACCAAGATTTATTTCTAATCAGAACAAGAACAAGAAAAGTTACTATTTCTTGCCCCAACCCTGTGGCCCTCACACATTTTCTGAAGGTTCTTCTGTTGCCTGCAATAACATGCACAGGCTCATGTGAGCACCGAGAACACATGGAAAAAATGTCTAAAACCTTGAGTTTCAGAAGCCTGCATGTTGGAGAGGGCAAGGCTCTTTTCTAATCAGTTAACATCAGATGTTCAGTGCTCCTGCACTGATTTGTAGGATTCTCTTACTAGGCTGAAATACACCTAATTTTTTATATGGAAAAGCACTGTGCTTAACAAGTGTAGCTTCTAAGGCCAGTCTGGTATGAAGGCACAAAGTTAAACCCTCTGAGTCAAGGCACATATCATTTGAATTCTTTGTGTCCCTGATGTGAGGACACAGCTCTTGTTTCTTTTTGCATGACTGTGCTACAAGTTAATGTATATTTCTTAAATTACCTAAAATTCAAGACAGACAGACATTATTGCAAAGTGAGCAGGCTCATAAGAAACAGATTATTCCACAATACCACAGAATGGTGCCAAACAGCCAAAACATGCCATCCGAGTGCAGCCCCAGTACAAGTGACAGAAGGGTTGCAGACAAACTGTACCTGCAAAATAACAAAGAAAACCCCTGTAAGGACCTCCACACAACAAAACTCAACAGTTACTGTCCTTATAAATCAGTAACAGCAGAGCCCTGATAAGCTTGGCTCAAAAAAGGTACAACTTTCTCATTTAAAATACATTCTACAGAGGAACAAAATTCCACAAAAGAAGATTCTTTTACGCTGCCTCTACAAGAGTTCAGATATAGAACACTCATATAAAAAACAGTCTTCAAAGTAAATTTAAGTTTAATAAAAAGTAAGCAGAGAGTTAGTTCTGTAAAAAAATAAGATAAAAAATGTACCCACATTGCTGAGGAGCAACGTGAGGATTCTGCTCCCGCTCTGCTCTGCGGTCAGGCATTGGCTGAAAGCAGCAGGTGCATATTACATGACTTCCTTGAGCAGGACACACATATTCCTGGACAGCTAGATGAGTTCAAAAGGGAAAAAAAAAGACAGACTGAACAAGGTACACAACTGCAATCTAACTCAGTGAATATTAACAACACAAAAATCTCAAAACTATAGTCAAATGTCACGATGTTTGCAAAGACAGTGGTGTGGTGTAACTCTCAGTACCATGAGAGTGACCTTGATTAGTTCATAGTTCAGTGTTATAGCACAGCTCATTGCTCAGTTCAGGGCAGTTGGAGACAATCTTTCAGGGTCCCTTCCAACCCAAACCATCCTCTGATTCTGTACCAGGTGTATGAGCTGTAGTGTTTTAGTCCCACACTCTGGGACGATGTCGTGGCACTGACCTGCAGGGAAGTTGGCAGATGTTGATGGTGCATCTCCCAGTGCCTGCATTCCTCCTGCCTCTGTCTCCTGGCCTGTGCCAGGCACAGTTGGGACAGAGTGTCTTCTATACCCTGGGCACTGTCTGCACACTATGTATGGTTGACTGAAAAGATAAAATAAAGTCACAGGAAATCACAGTGAACAAGTGCAAATACAACTTACATCTGTATGCTAGACAAGATTGGTCAGACTCTCAAAGTTTAAATTTGGAACTTCCTCATTCAGTAACAGATGGAAGTTCACATAACTCAGTACCTCACAGCTGTGAAGACTGCTCTAGTTGGACAGATAAAAATGTTGGGTTTTACAGTAGCAGTTTTAAAAAAGGGGGGGTGGGAAGTGAGATGAACAAAAGAGAGAGGTACAAAGCTGGAATAATTATCTACATGAAGAATTCTTCTGTTCCCCTCCAGACATTGAGCAAAAAGTGTTTGCTGCCAGAAACAAAGAGGAGATACTTTGGTACTTGGGAATCTCCATCAGCTGCCTCAGTACCTTAGAACCAGTGAAAGCAGCATTCCAGACACATAAGGAAGTACAACCATTGCAGCTGCACTCACAGGGCATGGACTGCTTTACCTCCTGACAAGATCTTAGCCAGAAACCTGTCTTCTCTAAAGCAGCAGTCAATTTGTAAGTGGAAAAGGTAATTTCACATATCTCACATGAGGCTGTTGCACAGTTCAGGACAGAACTGTTGGTCACAAACTGAATCCTGCTGAACTTCTGGGAAGTTCTAATTTTAATTATTTTTTTGTTGACTGCTCAAGGTTCAGTAGGATGGCCAGTAGAACTGCCAAGATAGTTACTGCTAAGAATGAACTTACCTGAAAACTAAACTAAGATTTATTCTGACAGTGATCATGGGAACACTACCAGCAATAACAGCGTTTGTGAAACTATCTCAGTCGTTGGGCTTATCCAAACATAAGCACACCTAATTCAGAGCACAACCTAAAAGCAGACATACCTGATATCTGAAGATTCACTATCCACGTCTGACAATTCCAGCAAATCTTCAGAACTTCCCTCCTCGTCTGAGAAAGATCTGCGCACCTTGGGCTGCAGCATGTCCTGAGTGATCTTGTTCCTGGCGTCCATGCTGCGAACGTCGTCCTCATTGCGGCACTTATCTGGCACCACAACCAAAGCCAGATTTCAAGAGAAAAGAACACCTCACCTCCCTTACCTGCACCCTATTTTGTTAACACAGTTCTGGTGTTTCCATTTCCATAAAACTTGGTTTAGGATAACAGAGTTCTAGAAGGTCTTAGTTAAATTCCCCTCTCTGTTAATGAAATGTAGTATCGGGCAACTTAAGTTTTGTTTTCAAGAGGCCACGATCAAAGTTAATTAAATTCACGTTCAAGTATATTTTTCAGAAGTATCTGATATCCTTATGATTAAGTAACAAATTAAAATGAAGAATTCTTAGATAGTTGCAGTATTACATCACCTTCCACAAGTCATTATGTCATGTTAACTACGTTTTATTTTCTTACAACCACGTCAGAGAAAACTGCAGAGTGACAAAGCACACAGATATTGTACAGACAGGTGTGAGCATGTGTCAGTTGTGCAGCTCATGTGTGAAATACAAGGGGTTCTGCTGCACACACTGTTCAACTTGCCTGGATGCTGAATCAGATAAGCTTCAACCAAGTTGTTCAAGATGTGGTTTTTACAAATACGTTCTACCGGACAACGACAAGTTGGACACAGGGAAGATCTTTCCATCCATCCTGAGTAGCAGGCAGCACAAAAAGTATGCATGCAGGGCTGCAAGCTGGAAAACAAACAAACAAATGGAGTCAAAACATAAATACATTATTTTTTTCAGATACATTCGTAACACTCAAAAAAACTATTTGGCACCAGTTTGACTATATAGATGAGGTGGGGGAAAGGGGACTCAGAAGGGCTTGTGAAAATGCTCATTATCCTGACCTCCTCAAACAGTTGCCACTGAATTTCGGGCATTATTACCACATGATTACAGCTTTTGTCACTCTTACATACCTTACACAGTCATGCAGCAGTTCTTGGCAGATAATGCAAGTTAATGTTTCTTCCATCTTATCTGGTTTCACATTTGATGTTTTTGCATCTTCAGAGCCAATTTTAATTATACATTCACTTGGAGGTGCTGGTGAAAGATTTGGACAAGTGCCTTCATCTGCAAAGAGAGAAGATTCCACAGGACATAGTTTTTGAAGCTTTTATAACTTATTTTTATTCAAGAATTTAAAAAAAAGATCTGAAAGATATACACTGATTCACTGTTCACTGGCAATGATCCCACTAGAGGTTCTTGCTTTAGACACAACAGCTTCTGCTACTGAAAACATTATTTTCACTGAACCAGAAACCAAGCCAGTAAGAAGCAAGAAACAAACTGAAGGACTGATGAGAGCTGTTCTAATTCAGCTTGGAGGGGCTGGGGGTTAGGTTGCACAATACTGTACTACACTTGCCTCCTTTTAGCTTCTTCTTTGCAGGTTCCAAACCTTCCTCCTCCCCTGTCCTTTGAGAATCCGATTCTGCTTCTTCTTTGTCAGTGATTTCTGAAGTGACTGCAGAAGTTTCAACATCCATATCCAGCTGTTCGTGCTTGTTGTGCAGTGCTCTTACACACTGAGATTCTGAGATGGGCAAAGCAGGCACAGGAGTGACAACTGGGGACTGTGAGCCTACAAAACAACAGAAACATGGACATGGCTTAACACCGACACAGGACATATGAAACCAAAAGGTACTCAAGCCCTGATGAGGCACACGCATCAATCCAAACATCTGAACAGGAAAAAGTGCAGCAGAAAAGCAATGTCTGCACAACTTACTAAATGCATTCTGAACCTATCTGACTAACTGCAAGACCTGGGGAGAAACAACCTATTAGTTGTGTAACCCTACTTAAAATCCCCATTTCTCTTTAAAGTGCAGAGTATTTATTCATAAGACCCACAATTGCTTTACTCATCCATTAGGATTTACCCCTGAGGGAAAGTTAAAATGCACATATACACCTGGTATTTTCACTAGAACTTTACAAAGCAGGTGATAAAGACCCGGACAGGGGTAAGAGATCAACCTGTTAAGTTTCAAAACTGGAGTAACAGTTGATGGGATATCAAACTTTAGGTACTGGGCACAATTCTTACCAGATGAAGATGGATTATCATGCTGAACAGATGCAGACTCAGTAAGAGAGGTAGAAGAAGCATTAAAGAGGTTAGATGTAGAAGTAGATGGCTGTGGTTCCTCATAGCAAGGCTGAGTAGCTGACGGTGATGAGGTAATTTGGGTCTCATCATTACTTCTTCCTGTACTTGAGGTATCTTTGGTCACATGGCATTGGTTTTCTACATTAACTTCTACAGTTGGAAGGGGGGAAAGGAAAGAAAAACATCTGTGTGACAGTCACCATATCATGGCTTCAAAATTCCAAGGCATCAAACTCTCTCAAGAGGGTTACATTAGTCATTGGAGCTTAGCTCCTCTTCATGGATCCTGAATTACTTCCTTACCTACTGGTTCTTGAGTTGCATCATGTTTTGTGTTTAAGGATTCATAAAGATAAGCAACATCTGAAAGGGAAAAAATAGTATTTATCATAATCTTCAAACAGAAATTTGCTAACCTCCACATAAACAACTCACGTAAACAACTTCCAGTCACAAGTGGCTGCTTCCCCAGAGTGTCTGACAATGGAAGAGGCAAATGAGGGGTCACCTCAGTAGTACCATGTTAATACTCCCACTTAGGAGGCAATTAGGAGCAGCACAGCAAGATCTTTTCTTCTCAGGAAACCAGGCAGAGCAGCTTTTGTGTGATGTTTAACTTGTGCCAGCCATGGAACCAGAGGCTTAATCATTTCTTAAACCTCAAATCTGCTCTGTGTCTGAACAAACTGTATTTGCACTCATACTGAATCAAAGTTCTTCGAAGAAGCTTATAATTTCTGAGCTCACTTCTCAACATCACCAATCAGTATTATTTCATTTCTTTGAAGATACATGAACTCAAAAATACAGATTAGGATATGCCATAAGTTTCACCCAGAAACTAATTTAGAATCTATCAATAAAATTAATCTGTCTGATCTGTCTACATATAAATTAACAGCAACTTCATAAAGGAAGCATTCCAGTGGTATGTATGTATCTAGAACATTCTTCCAGGTTTACTAATTCTACTTACAGTGTAGGGCTCTCCCCACCTCCCCCCTGGCCATTTTGCCTCTTCCCTCTTTAAAACAAAAAAACCCAACACACACACAACCCCCACCCCCAAAAAAACCCCACAAAAAACACACACACAAAAAAAAAACCCACCAAAAGACACACACAAAAAAACCCAAAAAGCTTTTGAGGCCTTTCCTTGTGGTGCCACAAAACTGCTCTGCTGGGATATATAAAGTATCACTAACTACCCCAGCAATGTGACTTCTAAAAGCAGCACTGGACATGGGATCAGAACCTCATTAGTTACCATTCCATGCGTTATTTCCACCAGAACTACTTCTAGGCACATTACAATTTCAGACAGTTGCTCAGACTTGTCTCTGTAAAAATTGGCACATCTATGACCTCTTCTCTTGAGAATTGTTTTTAAACATTAGCAAATTATTTCTCTTATAATTGAGTAATTCTGTTTTAATTACACTGATATTTCTTTTCTCTCATGACTCAAAGGAAAATGACTAAGCATACCATTTAAAAAATATTATTCACTTACTGTTCTCTGGCTCATTTTTTCTGTAAACAACATAGATCACATCCCCAGTCTGTAATGGGCATGTCTGCTTCTTAACCACTTTCAGTTTATTAATTACTGTTCCATTAGTACTGGAAAGATAAAGAAAAGATAACACCACAAATGTTTTCATAATCACATGGGAGAAGGAAGGGAAAGCACTAGATATTTTTAAAGAAGAAAAACTATTGGCTACCCCCCAAAAAAAGTTAAGTGGATTAAAAAAAAAAAAAAAAAAAGAAAAAAAGTTCAGAAACTAAAAAAAATTCTCCCAAAGACAGAAATGCAGAGCTACTAGAACTTCAAAGCTCATTTGCAGCTACTGGCAAAGAGGTGACAGCTGACAGACAAAAGACCCCTGATATTTGGCCGTGTCTCAAAATAATTAGAGGATTGTTTCTGTATAATAGTCTCCACCCTTTAAGTATAAAACCCCAAGGGGCAATAGCTGTTCTATTCAAAAAGTTCTGAGTTTACTTGGACTGTCTGCAACTCAAAACTGAGAAGTTAGTAAGGTGGAGAAAAGTTATGCACGCTGAAAGATGAGCTGGAATTCATCACTGAGATACTGATAAAAAAATCAAAAGCTTGTAGAAGAAATTAAACTGGAGAAGAGGAAAATGCAGAGCACTGATGATTATTTTCTTTATCTCCTTTACTGTGGGTGATGTTGTATACACAAGCTACTAAGGTTTTATAAGCAAGGTACTCAAGTACTGAATAATTCCAGCCCACTTGGATGAGCCTCCTTCAGGGCTGCAGCACCCTCGAGTTTCAGACTCCTGCCATTCAAAATCTCAGCAAGTGGCACCAAATATAAACGAACAAAAATATCTGCTGTGCCCCCACCCCAGCAGAGCTGCTGCTCGAAATAACAGCAAACCTGTGCTGCCACCTCCTGGAGGCACCACCTGTGCCCAGGACACAGCAGCTCCTCTCCAGACAAGGATGGGTATTTGGAAATAAGTGCCTTCCCTCCTCACTGTTTCTTCTTTTAAAAAGCAAACTGGAAAAAAAATCTCTTCTCATTTCGTAACATAAGCAGAGAAAGAAAATTAGAACTATTTATTTTGGACACAAAGTCAAAATCATGACATTAAAAAGCAAAAGGAAAGCAAGCCCTTTTGAATCAGTACCACAAGTCTCAACCTAGGTATCAGTTCTTGGCCTTACTGCCTTCACTATCCACTGTTCTTCCCCATCTTCGTGGTTGTATCAACTACTCCAACATAAATAACAAGATCACAAAAAAATAAAAATGCTACTTTAAACATCAATAAAGAAACCCAAAAATCTTTGGGTCACATATCGGTGTTTGCTCCATTAAAGAAACTTCAACCTTCTCCTACAAGCAAGAAAACTATTTTTGGCTTGTTTTTCTACCTCAGCCATACAGATGTTGACTTGCCTGAAAGACATGAGGAGCAAAGAACCAGCAGAGCAGAGAAATCACTAAATGAATACCAAAGCTTAGCAATTAAGAGGAAAAAAGAATTTTAGCCAGTTTGTTAGAAAGTACACTCATTTTTAATTTTATATTGATGGTATGTGATAATACATTAAAAAGATTATGTGGAAGTAAAGATTGTTCCTCCTTCAGTTGTCAGGGAAGCAGTAAAGCTTACACCAACCCCTAAAACCTGTCAGAGGTCCTTTAACAAAACCAGGGAACATCAAATTTGACCTCCTTTCCAGAAGGCACAACAAAGTATGAATCTCCCATCTGCCCTAAGAGTTCTAGAACTTCTTTTGTAATAAAACAGCTAAACTCAAGTAACAAGACTTGTCTCTTACTGAGGTTCAGCTTCTACAGGCAATTCCTAGCCCACATGTTTCCCTAAACACAGGGGAAATGTGTCACAATGATGTATTCTGTGAGATCTCTCTGCCATGACTGCCAAGTTCCAAGATGGTTATGGGGGACAATAACTCAAGTAAGGTATTTTTGAAAAAGAAAAGAAAAAAACCCCAAACATCACACATGTAGTAACCCCTCAGGCTTGGTTTCATAAAACAGGTTGCAGAAATAAGACCCTAACCATCCAACTGACTACAAACAGCCAAATGTTTTCAGTTCTGCATTACATGAGAGCTGACTGATGAATTCCTTGGCACACACAGACCCAAATGAAGTAGGAACAAACTGATATCACCTAACACAGAAAACCATAAGCTTCTCTTCAGTACATTAGCAAACTGAATCAGCTGTACTTATAGCTCAGCCAATAATCAAAGGGAAAAAAATTATCCAACTACATTAGATAATTATATTGGCTTTTCATTTCCAGCTTCAGGCTTTAGCATGGGGCTTTTAACAGATATGGTGACATTTCAGATTAATGTTGTGGGTATTTTTCAACCAGACACACGTGATAAATTGTGACATTTGCACATTCCTCTGATGTTTCAAATTAAGGTTCCCATAAAACAAGTAGAAACTACAATGAGAATCCCAAATATGAAGGCCATTCATTAGGACTTAATACTGAATTGATGCCAACTGGCTGTACAATATTTCAAGGGGAGATGAAAAACGGTACTATCAGATATAAATTGTCTGCACTGTGAAACAATGTCACAAAAGGTCCCAATGTCACTTTTCTAAAGAGTGGAAGAAAAAAAAAAAAGTCTGGCCTTGACTCAATTCCAATGTGGTTGATGACTCCACAGTTTCATTAAGGAACCATAAATTCCCTTTACTTCCCAATCCCAACTGCTGTGCAGAATTGATGTGAGCACTCAGAACAGCCTCACTTTCGGTGAATTACCTACGTGTTGCAAGATACCTTGGTATCCTTCCAAGAAAAATGCCAGTCTGTCACTTTTTAATAATTACTACCATCCAGGAAAAGAATGTGATTTATGTCAAAGCTTCTGGGTTAATAGTTTCAATAGTTATCAGCTATTTAAATGTATATTATCCTGAACACACTGTTAACTTAAATGAGTTTTGAAGTCTTTTAAGGTACAGAATCCTGTCTGTACTGTAATTCTCCATTCTTTTAACATCCATGGAAATAGTTTTGACTGGTAGGGTGAAGAGAATTTAGTAGCAGATCAACCTCCAATTTACCCACAGAAAGGCAATATCAGCCTTGGGTAAAGAGTTTCCTGCCCTGAAACATCACTTACTACTTAGTATCTTTCAAAAATATTCCTAGAAGATAAAAGAAGAGGTCTTAAAAAATAAATCATATTAGTTGCCTTCAGAATTTCTTTTTCAGAATGGAGACTCTTACAATTGCTTTTACTTGGGGCAAGCCAACTGCTGCCTCCACTGTGTTAGGTCAGCTTGTATAATTTGTTTTCTTTCAAGAAGAATAAAGTGCATGGTTTGGAAAATAAAGCAGAAACATATCCCAAAAAAGGGCGAGTCCGGCAGTATTTTATTGTACTATTTGCTAACTCTTGGTTTTTGTTACTTCCAAACTTCTACTTGCTCAACAATTTAGAGTTCTCTACACATTTCCTTTCACCTGCAAATTTATGGTAATTCTTTCCAAAGTAGATTCAAGGACTCACTGTGCTAACAGGGAGAGAGAAACCAATGTTGCCTGTCTACATATATCTGATTCTACTCTTTGGGTTCACTACAGTACAGAAACAAAGTCCACTCAGTCCCCCTGTCCCACACCCGCTGCCTCCTTCAGCGCATTCCTCCTCGCCAGAAAAATCCCAGCTTGACCACAGCAACGTTTCCAAACTATTTTCCACTTCAGAGAAGAAAAAGCTGACACTGCAGTATTTTCTCTGCGACTCTGGGCGTCCGTACTGCCAACTCAAACATTCAAAAATCATCTTCTCTCAGCCTGCCTGATCTTTTGGAACTCCTCTGGTATTTGGCACAGACGCTGGGAGACCCAGAGGAGCCTTGTGCAAGTTTGGTTTCTTGATTCAGCAAACGGCAGCCACACTGGACGCCAACTCCCGGGAAGCAGGACACAGCACCTCACTCCTCTTTGTCACATGCACAAAAGTACAACAGGCACCAGCAGCCCCCGGCAGGACTCCCTGGGTGCAGCCTTTCTGCTACACTACCTGGGAACAAGCCTCACCTTTTCATGAATATATCACAGAAAATTAACTTTCATGTGGCTTTGTTAGTTTTCTGCTGGCTGCACTTTCTGCCTCAGGGGGTGGGTAGGGAAAAAAAGAAAAAAAAAAAAGGCAGGAATGTTTCTGTATTATGCACAGTTTATTTAGCTTGTTTTACCATAATGTTGGTCTAAACCAATTTCTCAAGCTTAAATTTACAGCTACACTCTTACACTGTCATCATAGGCAAATATGGCTTGATTTGTTGCTTGAAACACCTCGAAATTTAGGATTGCATTGCAGAATGACAATTATAAGCCATTTCCTAGGTATGCCAGCTAGGCCTTGTATTTTTCCCAAAAATTTAGCATTCTGTCCCCCAGCTTCTTGGAGCATAATTCCCTCCAGGAATCTATCCAGGGACCTATCCCGGCCATCCTGGACATACCTGTAGCTACAACCTTGAAGAGGAGAGGAAATACACCCTCACCAAGTTTGTGGATGGCAACAAAGCAGGGGCAGGGCTGGGCTGCCCTCAAGGGCACTTTGGCCAGAGGAAGGGGCTGATGGGAATGCCACGACATTCCACACAAAGTCCTGCACCTGGACAGAACCACCTGTAAGAGAGCAGCTCAGAGACTGCTCAGACAGGGCTCCTGGTGGATCTTAGGACTAAACACAAGGTCACACCCCCTGGACTTCTGCCTGGGCTCAAGTCAGCAGCCTGCCCTGGCAGGGGTGAAGGCCTACAGCCCCCCTGGCTGGATGAGCAGGAGTGCAGCCTAAAACTAAAGCAAAGTGGTGATTATTCCCCTTTACTTGGAATTCATTAGTCAGCATCTAAATCTCACATCTAGTTTGGGGTCACCTGATAAACTCGAGCAAGTCCAGCTATTGATGCCTCGAGCAACAAACAAGATTATTCTTCACAGACTGAAAGGAAGTTAAGATTAGAAGTTCACAGAAGAACCAACCTTGTATCTTCCAATGACACCTGACCAGATTCTTCATCCACTATGATTTTACAGTGATCTCCAGACACCAACTTGTTGCCAGGGAAAGATAAGTCACAACCTTAAAAAGAAAGGAGATTTTCCAGTGGGCTTAAAAATACACATTACACAGTCAGATCAGCATTCTACATGGCTATAAATGCAACGCAAACTGACCCATGTACATCTGCAATAGTTCAAAACTTCTGCTGTCACACAGACAGCAACACAGTCCACTGTGTGACAGAGAAATACAAATGGTGAGACAGACCCATGTGCTGATATAAACTTACTTCAAACTTCTAAAGATGTTTCAGTTCCCTTCCCCCCCAGTTGTAGCCCTCACAGACGGAAATCAGATTACAATAACTCTGTTCTAGACTTGTACAGAAATAAATTCACACATATTTGAAGTGTTCAGTCCAAATCCTAGAGGCACACATCACAGAGCACCCAGCTGTTTTTCCACACCACTGTGATTCTGTTTCATTGGATTTAACTTTTATTTCAGTCTGGTATACTGGAGGGAGTAGTAGGAACCAAGAGCTGTTCCTACTTCCATGATTGCTTCATGTACAGTAAGCAAAAAATCCTTTAAAATAAAGGCACATAGTAAAAGCCTTAGACCCTGGGAATAAAGCTTTCAAATCCATGCTCACAGAAACTTTCAGTACTTGTTGGCAGTCTTTATATGGCCATTAAGAATTAAGGGCTTTTATGTGGGTGTTTTCTTTTCTGTGAAGCAGAAGCATTTTGCATTGCAGTTCCAACTTATTTTAACCACAGAAACGAAACGAGAACGTAAACAGGGCCCATGCACAGAAACTCTCCTGAACCAACAACTGCATTTCCTTATTTGCACAAAGTGCCACAGCCAACCAACCTAAAAGGTGCATTCACTGTCAAACGTGCCTGTGTCCCAAGTTAGGGAAAAAGGAAAGGTCAGCATAAAACCACTTCTTCACATAACCAAGACAAACTCCTTCTTCACATAACCAAGAAGTAAATCAGGAATATGGGAAGGCCTGGCAGGCACCTCCAAGAGTTGAAAGCACCAAACCCATCTAGTTTCAGTGCACCTTCCTGTGTTTTAAAGGCCAGGAGGGGGGGTATCGCTGCTACCCCCCGAACACCTCTCTTCCCTGCCCCACCTTTCTTCCTGCCGATGGTCCATTCCCTTTTCAGCAGCAGGACGTGCGGCTCTGCCTCCTCTGCGCCCAGCCGGGTCAGCTTCCCCCAGGGCTGCGGCTGCTGGCTCTGCTCGCCTCCTTCCGACCGCTCCATTTGGATTCACATCTGACAAAAACACAAACAAAGCCAACCCACGCCCCACCATCACGCAGCGCCCGGGGAGGGCTCGGGGAGGGCCCGGGGAGGGGCCGGGCCCCCCGCGCCGCTGCCCCGCACCCCCGGGGGCTGCCCCGGCCCCTCCTCCTGTGCGGGGCTGGGAACCCTCCCCTCGGCCCCCGCAGCCGGCCCGCCGCCTTCCCCGCGCCCCCGCCCCGCAGGGCCGCTCCCCGCGCGGGGGGACCGGGCTGGGGCGGCTCCGCCTGTCTGTCCGTCCCTCCGTCCGTCCCTCCGTCCGTCCGCTTCCTCCCCCGCGCGGGCAGGGGCGATGCCCGGGGCACCCCCGCTCCGTCCCCGTCCCAGCTCTGTCCCTCTCCCGTCCCCGCTCCGTCCCCGCTCTGTCCCCTCTCCCGTTCCCCCGTCCCCCTCCGTCCCCTCTCCGGTCCCCCCTCACTCCAGCGCCGGCCCGGGCCGCTCCTGTCAACAGACGGCGCCCCATCAGCTGATCGGCGCGGGGCGGGCCCAGCGCGCCCATTGGCCAGCGCGGCCGGGAGGGGCGGGCCTTCCGGCTCAGCGTCCGGTGAGGCCGCGCCGGCCCCCGCCCATAGGGCAGAGCGGGCCCGCCCCGGGGCTGGGGCGGCGGGGACGCCCCGGCGGACATGTTGGGTGAGGGCGGGCTCGCGGGCCGGACAAGGCGCTCGCCGCCATCTTTGCTGCGGGCACACGGGTTCCCTCACAGAGGTCCCCTGACAGCGGGGCTCACATCACCACCTACAGCAAACTCAGTTCAGCCCCTCGATGTTGAAGAGTTATTACTTTGCCGGCAGCGGGTACATTAACGGAACATACTTGCTGTTCGAAAGCAAGCTCCCCCTGAGGGGGGATCAGTGCCCGCTGATGGGGTTCACGGACAAGCCCCAGTTTCACTCAGGGGCTCTTCCAGACCCAACCCCAAACCTGCTGTTACTGCGGAAAACAGCAGGCGACAGAGCTTTCTGCACCTTACTTTACTCTTTGTTGCCCCATCAACCACCTCATTTCAACATCCCCATCCTCACCTGTGGTAGTTGGAAAATAGCTTTAAAAACACCCAAAACACCAAGAAAACCACCCAAACCAGCAAGAACACACAAATAAAAGAGGTCCTTTCACCCTTTGTATAAAACACTATCACCCACTACTGCCCACTTACTGAGCAGCTTGTTTCTCTGTATTGGTGAGGGTTTTTTCCCGGGACATTTGTATCACGTACCATCATTTTTTAGGCGAATTAGCACCCACGTTGAGTTGCTCCTTCACCAAACAAACCGTGATCATTTTGCGCACTACCACTGGCAGCATTCCCGTTGTGAATTCCTCTATCATATTCATCTGAAGGACTCCAACAGTGTTGTGTTCACCAAAACAGAGGAGGGAGAGGCCGAGCTCCCTGGGTGTCCCTGCTGGTTGCTGATTTTCTTCTTAACTAGTTACCTGATGTACAGAGGCAGTGAACCCTTTTTTCCCCCTTCACTCAAATGATTTTGAAGTCTGCATTAAACGAGAAGACAGAAGACATGAAAACAGAAACAGAATACTGAGAACAAACCCATTTGCAGTTCTTGGCATTGATACTCCTACTTGGTTCACAGGCTTGCGAGCTCTCAGATTTTGTTTTACCTTAACCTTTCCTGGAAGCCCTGTAGATCCCACACAAATCTCACAGTAACTCCAGGCTGTGCAGGAGAGCTGCACAGCACCGCTGATCAAGCAAAGTTATTCCAATACAGCAGTGTTTGAGCCTGCCGTTTTAACTGATACCTAACACACAGTAGTGCTCCCTTCTCAGTTGCATGGGCCCCAGGTCAGGAAAAAGAAGTAGGCAGACGTGTGAGTCAAAATTGATACATGTTCTTAAGAGCTTTGTGTTATTGACCTCAGCCTATAACTCTTCCCTTAGTAACAGTACTGTGAAAAAATGGCTCTTTGAGACCTAACTGTCTGCATTCCTCCAAAAGAATTTGTCTGTAAAATACCCTGCTTGCTTTCAACTTTGTCCTCACTGAGGAATCGTGCCTTTTATACATTCGAGGAGAGGCACATCAGTGGAAATTACAGTCACTCAAAAGCATTGTCATGGTGCTTCATTTTTATTACTGCTCACAGTGACTGGTAATTGTTATCTCTGAGTGGCAGAGGAAAATACCAGCACATGGGAGATGCAACTAACAGCCCAACAACCAAACCTTTTGTGTAAACTGTAGCATCAGCTGAGGGAGGAGGTTGTTTTGTTATATTGTGGCATTGAGAAAAACGCATTTTCCAAATATTCCTGCCAAGAGATCCCTCTGCAATCGTACCAAGGAATTACTGCACCTCGGCGATAGCGCAGAGCGAGCAAACGATTGGTTCAGCTCCCGCAGCTCTCCCATAGCATCCATGTGAAAAGACAGCAAGTGAAACATACAGCCAGCTTAACGAGTCCTGTGTGGATAGGAGACTCAATTAAAATTAAATTATACAACAAATTAGGTTTTAAATGCTGCGCTGCTTAGCCAGCCAGACAAATAATAATTAGAGATGTACTGATCTGCTGCTGTGTGCAGTTGACTGCTGTAACTGCTCTCCATGTGCACTCACGACACTTCCCTCCCAGAGCAGGGCAGTTTTGTACCACATTCCAAGAAATTCGTCCCTCACCAGGCCCAGTTTGTACTCATCACCCTCCTGAGCTGGGCAGAATGTACAGGATCTCTTTCTGGAGAACATCTTTCCATCTGTTCCCTCAGTTAATGTTTCTTTAGCAATATACCTCCCCCTCTTCTTTGTTTCTAGAATCCAGGTCACTCTAGCTGGAATTAGTTTTCAGGTTCTGAATTGTGTAGGTATGCATATGTTAGATTTAGGAGAAATAAAAGCTATAAATATTATTTCTCTTTCTAGTGATACAAATGCCAGCAGTTTGAAAATGCTCCACAGTGGATAGGTGGACACAAGCCAGAAACTGTCACCTCTGATACTGGTTCTAGTAAAAGAAATTTAGGGTTCCTCATAAAGAACAACATTAAAATCAATTCAGTTTAAAAGGACCTGAAGGCAGCTATCCAAATCCTACTGTACATTTTCAAATGTATTTGTATTGCATAAATATCTGTTGCAGAGAACATTCAGAAAGACTGATACTATTTGGTTTTGTCCTCAATTTTTTTTCACCTCTGGAGAAAGTAATAGTAAATTCTTAATATTGGATCTGGCAGAAGCAACTTGGAAAACATGTTTTACGATTAAACCAATAATTATGTGTCCTGCATGGCAAATAAAGCATTTAAAATCATCCTAAGCCAGCAAGAGTAGTGTTATCATACAGCCATCTTCAGCTGTGCTTTCTGACTGCTGGCTGCTTGTCTGTGGGTAAGGAAAAACAACTTTGTAGTGCAAAAGAAAACATACCAAGGACAGCCTTTTGTTTAAGCATTTTTTCCAAATACTGATAGCCCAGTCCAGCAGATAATCTACGTTCCTGCCATGCTGTAAATAAGAATACACTATTAGCATGAAGGGTTTTCCAAGTCAGGCAGCAAGCCCTAGATTTCTTCCTTATTATGTGGTAGAGAAAGGAAAACAGCCAGAGATGTCATATGAGGAGGAAACAAGAGAAGGATCATTTATACCCTTTTTTTTTTATGCTGTTAATCCAGACATCCATTTCATTCCCCTGCCAGTGTTTGGGACATGTTTAGCCCAGGGAAAGCAGCATGTTCCTGTGTCAGGACCCTCACACCAGTCCACTGCAAAGCCTTTCAGCTGCCCTCGAGTTACAAGGTTAAGCAGCAGTGAGATTAAGTGCCTCCAAAGGAAGAACTCCCTGGGAATTCCGAGGACCTTCGAGGAAAACTAACAGACGTGACACACCAAAATCACGCACATGGGAGCTGAAGGAACAGTGCAGCTCCCGGGAAGAAGTTCCTTTCAGCCCGACCACGGCTGAGCTTTGTTGCTGGGAGAGACTGCTGAGTGCCCAGTTGGCAAACACAGATCAGAAGTAATGCCATTATTGTTCACATTTCCCAGGTTGGCCTCGCTGGATGCAGCACATTCCCAGTTGTCTTTGAAACCACTTTGCATCCAGGTATTTCCCAAGGAGAGCTAATGATAATAATTTAAAAGAAATCACGTTGACATTTCTTTTTAGAAATCACTAACATCCAACTATTTTGTTACATTCAAATGGAATTTAAAGGCAGTATAAATACACCTTTTGGCATTATTTACATCCTTCTTCTCATGCAGCCTGGAGGGAGAAAGCAGTTTAAATTTTTGCCTTTGACACTTTTTACTTTCCGAAGATCAAACTCTGCAGGCAGCCTGAGAGCCCAGCAGATGGTCTTTTCTGTCCAGTAAAGAGAGCGATTCCACTTGATTAACAAAATGGAAGTATTTCTAATAGCCTCAGGTTTTCCAAGACGTGGGTTTACTCTGTTTTGTAGATCCAGGTACAGCCCTACAGGAAGGTCTTTGCCCATCTTACCTGGCATGAGGCCACCCCAGCCACGAGCATAAGGATATTCTTGGACCAGATTCAAACAGACCTCTTTAATGGTTTTTCTTGTCGTTCATAGGTGACATTCCAAGTTTTCTTTTTGATCATTGAATTCATGATGTTAGAGAAATCCTCCAGCACTTCCCAAGTCAGCCTTAGATTAACATGTTTAGTCTGAGGAAGAAAAAAAATTGCATATATTATCTCAGGATGGAAAACTGCCTAGAGAAAAATTACATTAATATTTCTGCAAAGATTCTATAGAAAACTGGGAAAATTTACAGCCTAGTTAAAGAATTGATTGCATCAAAGGGGATTTCTAGAATATTTCCTTCCTTTGAGTGTTTTGAAACATACTTCCTCCAGGGGGTGCCAAGTTAACACCACTGGAAAATTATCCACACCAGGGACAGAGCTGTCCATCCACTGGACCTCGAGAGGGATGCACCCCCCCAGATCTGAGCCAGAGGCACCAGTCTAGGGGGAAATCTCTCAGCTGCTCACCTGTGAAACTCTCTTGAAGTCAGAAAAGTCAGAAACAGTGCTGACTGCTCCTGCAATGAATGTCACACACATGCTCTGCTGAGTCAGGTAGGACACAGACCTCGGAAAAGAGCTGTAAGAGTGGCCTTGGTGAGAGAGACATCCATCT